GAAACATATCGAAGACAAGTCGTACGTTACATAAAGCCCGAAGGTGCGCGGATGGAGCTTTGGTAAGTAATTCCGTCATATTAATTCATTTATTTAGTTTGAGCATCAATTTTGTAGTCATGCATATCATTACTATTTAGATGGCTAACTTTGTTACTTTCTGCGGTTTAGGTTGATGGCATCGAGCGTATAATTCCGTCATATTAATTCATTTATTTAGTTTGAGCATCAATTTTGTAGTCGTGCATATCATTACTATTTAGATGGCTAACTTTGTTACTTTCTGCGGTTTAGGTTGATGGCATCGAGCGTATAATTCCGTCATATTAATTCATTTATTTAGTTTGAGCATCAATTTTGTAGTCGTGCATATCATTACTATTTAGATGGCTAACTTTGTTACTTTCTGCGGTTTAGGTTGATGGCATCGAGCGTATACATGATATCGCTCGTACTGCAGATTCTTTGGCAGGGAGAGAGGTGGGGCTCATTCGTAGGATAACGAACAGTCTCCTTGGCTGTATGAGAGCGCGCGCCCGTGACCATCATAGATACACGCCAGTTCCCCCTATGCCTACTCCTCGAGTGATGCATGATGTTCCCATCCCTCCCGCGCTGTCCATAGAAGGCCAAACAAGGCTACAAGGGATCGACCTCGCGTGCTTGAGACCAAGCCGATTGAGGTGTGGAAGGTGCCTAATCCATTAGAGGTGTGCCAAGGTGCAGGGTCGAGTACTCAGTACGACCCTCAGCAGAGTTCAACTATCCCCGATCGAGTTTTCATTACGATCCAGTTTCCACTAGGATCCCCGCCCGAGTTTCCACCACGATCCCCGCCCGAGTACATATCATGATGGCACATCCTTGGCTACTTGGCACGATGGTTCATCCTTGGCTACTTGGCACGATGGTTCATCCTCGAGTTGCTATCAAGACTTCTCACTTTTGCATCGACCGCAACATCAATGGCAGACTACTCCCCACCGTATGAGCGTGGATGGGACTCGACCGCGCACAGAGGAGCCACCTAGCACGGCACCGCGACCACATAGCACATACCAGCGCCCTTCGACGGCCAATAGGCCTCTTCCACCGCGTCCAGCCATGGTTACACCTGGTGGACCAGTTGCCCATCGAACAAGGAAACATAAGGCGAATCTTCGAGATAATGCATGAGTGTGACCCAATCATTGAGTTTTATTTGAGTTAAACAAGTTGTGTTTATTTCAAGTTATGTTTTGTTTGAGTGATGTGTTTCATGTAGTAGTGTGTTTGTTGAGTGATGTGTTTATTAAAAAAGTTGGAACATTGCAAATTGTGGCAATTTTGAAAATCTCCATTGGCATTTAATCACACAAAAACCAAGTCCATAACCATAGAAATTAAAACAAATTGTGAACCATGTGAAAATGCATGAAAACAATCTATGCGTCGTTATCTTGGTTCACCACATCGGGACCTGGGTTTTGAGGACCAATTAGTCTAGGACATTTTCGTTTATCATGCCGTGGTACTTTGCAGATGGAACACCGCTTTAGCCCTCGCGGTGGTCTTCCACTTTGATCCATCTCATTTGGAATCCTTTTTACCCGCGGCCGACCTGCTTCACGCTTAAGTCCGATTGGTGGGATGATGACCTTTCCATCATAGACTGGCCAGTGGCAAAGCACGAAAAATCCTTCCATAACTGCTCTTTTGTGAGTCGATGTTGAAGAATGGACTGACGAAATGACGAGGGTCTTTGTTCATGTGATTGATTACAGGCATTGCATGGGAACAAGGTATACCTCTACCCTAATACTTCTGACAAGAGCACTCCCCTTTTTTGGTCCTAAAGTTGACAGTGACTTCATGGAGATGAACCCCACGTCTCTCATCCTCCTAGTGCCCGGTCTCGAACGAATACTCGCCAGCATTTCGGTTCATAACAGTGATAGTGTGCCGAGAGCTCTTCCGTTTATCTTTTTCCATTCTTCTTGTGGCCTTATCGGAGTGTACCTTACCATGTGCCTCCGTCAACTCGGCCTAGTGGAGTCGGTTGACGAACCATGCGTTCGCTTTCCAGAATGTCATCTCAACAATTGCAGGGATGGGCATTGCACGAACAACCCTGTAGACGTTGTTGATACTCTCGCTTGAGTTCATTGTGGCAATACCCTTACCTGGTACCTCCGTCCTTATGAAAAGTCCACATGGTTAGGTCATGTTCATCAAGCCACTGCGCACCTTTAGGGCATAGCTGACGGATCTTCTGCATTCTCTTTGAATTTCTTCTATTGGTAGGCAACATCTAATGAATATACAAACAAAAGCGTAAGGCAAGGGTATATCCGTGTTGGTTGTTATCAAAAGAATTTGAGCAATACAAGTACACTCGTAAGACTCTTAGAAGAGGTATACATCTCATTAGAAACACAACATTTTTGACAGAAAAGGAGGGATCTGAGGATCGCTTAGAACCCGATTTCCCCGGGAAATGGAAGGATCGTGATGATTTCTTAAGAACCCATTTCCTTAGGCATGACTATCAGCAAGGTTCTTCCGCTTGAAATGATGGTTCCAATTGCTCTTGAAGTCCCGTATGCACCATCTCTGTGACCACTTCCAGACTGGATCTAAGCCTAAGATGGCAGTCCTGATCCCGGCGTGGTGATCAGAGATGATTGTTAGGTTCGTTCGCCTAGTGACATAGAGTTGAATTTGTCTGAAGAACCATCCATAGTTGTCGGTATTCTCTCCCTCAACAATGGCAAAGCTAATGGAAATACGCATCTATTTGCATCTGCTCCGCTGGCGATCAGTAGAGTACCCTTGTACTTGTCGGTAAGGAATGTTCCATCCACTTGAATCACAGGAACACAAAATGGAAAACCATCAATAGATGGCTTGAATGACCAGAAAAGACGCTTGAAGTGGAGTTTTTACCGGGCTCCGGTGGCTGAATTTCTTCATGTTGGTAGCAGTGAGAGAAAACGGTGCTAGGGTTAAACTCCTCCAATTCCAAAATCAATCTGGAAAGGAATGCATATGATTTTTCCCAGTCAGGAAACATGGCGGCCATTGCTTTCTGCTTTCCATGCCACACCATCTTATAGTTAATGATATATCCATAACGACTAGAAATGTCGGCGATGATGGTTTCAACTGTCGATGGCCTTGAGATGTTATGGATGACACACATGTGTGAGTGTTCACCGCACGAGATATGACCCAATGGCCGACTCTCTTGCTCTTGATGGCTCGGACCCTAGCCTTGCATCCTTCGTTTTGATTTTGGCATCTAACCATCAGCCTCTTCGTGTCGGAATGGGTTGTGTGCCATTCAAAACTCCAAGTCATTGCTTCAGTGGCTATAGCGTGTCGCACCTCATTCTTCGTTGCAAATTGTTGGCCATTCGTAAAGCCAGTCAGTGGACCCCATACTGGCACCTCTGGCGGCTCCATGTCGGCATCAACATACCAATCTTCATTTGGAATGTGATTGTAGTATGGGAAAGGTACACGGTCGCGAGGCAATTTATCACCGCCTGCGTCTGAATCTGGACCGGAATCATCAACACCTTTAAGAGGATCGAAGCAGTCTGCATTGACATCGCCTTCCTCTTCTTCATCCTCGGGGTCACTAACTGGATTTGGATGGACATCTTTCATCTTATCAAGATTATGAAAGGCACCTTCATCAGCTCCGTAATGGTAGTTGTGGTTACTACCGCCGCCTTGGTAGATCTTGTACTCGGGTTGATACTGGTAGCCTTCTTGTGGGTTCCCATCCGTCTGTTGAGCTTCTTCTTCATATGATGGGAAGGATTGATGATGACCTCCAGTTCCATTATGATACTCCTGGTATGAATGATGGTCTTGGTACTCCTGGTGGGGATGATCTTTGTATAATCCACCCCCACCATGGATACAAGATGTTTGGCCATCTCCAGAATGACCTACACCGCCTTCGACCGCCTCGATGTAAACGAACATCTCCGCTTGTTTAACGTTATTGGTGGTCAAAATTGGACCATGGCATCAACGTCCTCCTGAGTGGTAATGAGGAATTCCTCATTCCACAACGACCCGCCATGTTTGTTTGGATATCGATACACCATACGATCAACTCTTCTACTGCCATCCATGCAGGTAACCTCAGTACACATTTGATGGAGCTCTTCAAGCATCAGTCTCGTAGCGGCCTTCATTTTATAAAAATTGCCACCGATGTAACGTACCTCTTTTCTGGTCTCTTCCGTGTAACCATTCCACCGTAACCCAAGCGTGAACTTTTGGAATGCCATCTGCAATAAAAATTACAAATGACAATTAAAAGTAATACAAAACAAACTTACGTATTAACGTTAATCACAAAAACTAAAAAAATGAAAGGTGCACAACTGAAATTTGAAGAAGAAGGAGATAAGTGAAGATTTGAGTTTTCCGGTGCTGCCTTTTATAGGCAAAATTTACACTGAAAACCGCAGGGGGAGCGATTTTAGTATGACATGCAGCCCCCACCCCTACAACTTTCTGCATGCCGACATGTCAGATGTAAGGGGAGTGGGGCTGAGGCACAAACGGCTGGGGGGGGGGGGGGTTGTGGTTTGTGCCTCGACCTAATAAACCACCTGCCTGAGGGGCGGTTTCTGTTGCCGAGGCAGAACCGCACCACAAGCATGCGGTTTGTGCTAGGGCAGCCATGGGAACTGCTTTTTCCAAGAGCGGTTTTCCTCAAAAAAACTCAAACCGCTCATCTGGCATGCGGTTCCATAATAAACCACCTCCTTGCAGACTGCAGTGCGATATTCACTATAACCGCCCCTCGGTGTTGCGGTTTTTAATTAAGGGTGTTAGTTTAAAACTTTTTCGGTTTAGGTGATAATTTTGAAATTTTATTTAAAACAATGGTAGTTTTGTATTTTTCCTACAAACTAGTCCTCGTTATTATATCTGTCTGTCTCTCTTTCTCTTTTTGTTGAATTCTCTCTCTTTCTTTTATTCGTTCTTCCTTTTGTGGGCTATAACTCCGCTAAAGGAAGCTAAGGGAAATATTTTCAATGCAGAATTGCGTGAGTTGGTATTGATCGTTATCTCGCAACACCATCAAAGTTTGAGTCCTTCGATCTGAAATCTGGAATCCTGACATTCCACAGGCCAGGTCAAACTCCAATTTCACTGTGTATTATTTTCTATCCGATTTATTCCATTGTGTTTTGATGGGTCTTCCTGGATTTCGGGTTTTTCATCTTCGAACCCCAGTCTTAAAATTCCGCCACTGAAATTGCAGCGATAACCATCGCAAGCAGAGAACAAGAAAGGAGCCGAGAGACATTCAAAATGGATGACGTGAAAGACAAGTTCAAGGGGTTCATGAAGAAAGTGAATACCCAGTTGTCATCCTCCTCGTCGCCCGGCAAATTCAAAGGCCAAGGTCAAGTTCTTGGCGGTAGTTCGTCATCGGCTTCGCCTAACTCCGTTTATGCTCGTTATTCTCAACCACCTGTCAATCGGAAACCCAGTACAAATCCATCTTCCATCAGTTCTTCTCCCTCTTTGAACTCCAAACCCTCGACTCAGAAGAGCCATGTTCCCGATCATAGCTGCAAACCCACTTCCGTCGCTAGCTCTTCCTTTACGCCAAATCCAAATCCCGCTGATGGGTTTGACCCTTTTGGTTCTTTGATCACGAGTAGTGAAAGATCCAAAAACGGGTATTCGCTTAATGTCTTTGAGTGTCCCATTTGTGGGCAAGGCTTCAGGTCCGAAGAAGAGGTCTCTGCCCACGTAGAGAGCTGCGTGTCTCTAAGTGTTAAAGCTGTCCCTGTTACTTCAGGTGATGGTAATGCTGTTTCTGATGGAAAAACTGATGAAATTGAACAAGATTCTGCCGGAGGTTTTTCGGATGAGGCCTGTGTTGCTACCTATCTTTCAGGTAAGCCGGCAGAGGGTTCCAAGGAGGTTGTAAGGAAACTTCTTGGAAATATTGTTAAGGAACCTAAGAATGTTAAGTTTAGGAGAGTCAGAATGGGGAACCCTAAGATTAGGGAGGCAGTGACTGAAGTTGCTGGAGGACTTGAGCTGTTGGAGTTTGTTGGGTTTGAGCTTAAGGAAGAGAGTGGAGAGATGTGGGCTGTAATGGCTGATGCGCCTGGCGAAGAACAAATTGGGCTGATAAATCAGGTGATAAGCTTCCTGGAACCTAGGAAGGAAGAGACTGTGCAATTGATAAAGGAAGATGGGGATACTAAACCGTCTGTTGCCACAGTGGAGGAAGAACAACGGATTGAGCAAACAAAGATTGATAGACAGGTACGATACCTCATTCGCATTGTCTAACCAAAGTAGGCTTCAGTGATATAGGTTTTCGAAGTATAACTTAGTACTGAGACTTTCCATTTTTTTGCTCAAATGAATGGTGTTGGGGGGGGGGGGGGGGGGTATAATCGATCTTTTAAGTAAAAGCATTGATGATTAAGCATAGGCCTAATGTCGTAACTTTGTTCGTTTCCTGAATGAGGGAAGCTGCCTCCAATGAGAGAACGACCTTAATAGCCCCTGTAACTTCGGCTTGGTTCTGCAGCTGTATGCTTTATTAGGTGGTGTATTAGTGGATTTTGTTTTTGGTTAGAGTTGTTAATGAGCCGAGTTCTGACCTAGCTCGGGCTCAGATTGTTAATAAACTAGTTGAGTTCGGCTCGTTAAACAATCTATGATACGAAATTTCTCTTTTAAATTGTAAATGAGATATTTTCTTCACATATTCAAAGTATTAAACATCATATGCGGTGAGATATATAATCTAACAAACCTGAGTTATCAACAAGTCAACTCATAAGCTATAGATCGATTTGATCCTAAGCCGCTAGTGAGCTCAAAACGAGCCAGCTAGTGAGCTCAAAACGAGCCAGCTCACAAGTTTAGCTCAACAAGTCACCGAGTCAAGCTCACGATCCTTGTGAGCTGAACAAGACATAGCTCAAGCTCGACTCTTTAGTAACAAGCCGCGTATCGTAAGAGCTTTCCCGAGGCAAACACCAAACCGCTCGTGAGCAACTTTTACTCATTTGCAGCCCTTGTAGTGTACACAGAAGCTGCCTTCAATGTTGTTTCTACCTAGCTTTAAATATCTATCACTAGGTGATGTAACGGAAGGTCATGCAACAGCTGTTTTGGCTCCTCAAAAATAGATAGACATCAATAAGTTTACTACTGTGGCTAATATCAATTTGAAACCTTAACACTGATCATCGGAAAGATCAGTCATGACTTCTATATGTCTAGAAAATGGTTGAAGATTTTGCTTCATTCTCCTCTGTGTATAGTTTTACCTTCTCATGAGATTCAACACTAGAGAAGGAATTTCTTGGATTACCACTGTGAATCCTAATCTGTAGTCGATATGCTTCGAATGCTTTAAATACAAGGATGAGATTGCTACTTTTCTGTTTTCCCCCATTGAAGCTATTATTATATATTAAATTATTAATGGAGTCAAGTTATAGTGCTGCTTCTTTGTACTATTATTTATTCAATGGCTGCTTACGTCGCATAGTTACCTTAATTTCTATCTGAAGAGATTTTCTGGTCTTTCAACCATTTATTTTCTTTTTTTGTTTTTCCGTTTTGCCTATTCAGATCAAGGTATTCCTTGCAGTTCCCGAAAATGTGGCTGCAAGAATTGAGCTCCCGGAATCATTCTACAGTCTCTCTGCCAGTGAGCTTAAAAGAGAAGCAGATATGAGAAAGAAAAAGCTTGCCGAATCTCAGCTTTTGATTCCAAAGTCTTACAGGGAGAAGCAGGCTAAAACTGCTCGGACAAAATACAGACGAACCATAATACGCATTCAATTTCCTGATGCAGTGGTTCTTCAGGGTGTCTTTGCTCCTTGGGAACCGACCACTGCCCTTTATGCGGTAAATCCTTTCAACTTCTTGTTCTCTATGTCTGCACCTAGTGAAACCAACAGACAGTATTAAATTTGCCGTTGGCTTGAGGAATGCAGTTGTTCTTCAATCTTTATTAGCCTTTTAAATGGGTCAGACCATGTAAGATCTCTAGTTGGCGAAGACTAAATAGAAGACAGTGAATTCTTTTTTGGCAAGTTATGATTCGTGACATTGTATGACATTTGACAAATGTTTTTTTTTTTTTAACTTTTCTTTCAAGTTCGTTAGCTCGGCACTTAAAGATAGCAGCTTGGAATTTGAGCTTTTACATCCTGTACTGGTGAAACGTCGAGTGATCCCACATTCTGCAGAGACAGGGGAGAGAAGCATTACCCTGGCAGACGAGGACTTGGTCCCTTCAGCTCTCATCAAGTTCAGACCCGTTGAAACTGATTCATCTGTTTTTACCGGGTTAAGCAACGATCTCCTAGAGATTAGCAAACCGATGACATGATTGTTCCCATGAAAGCAGTGGAAGATGATGAATTATTGTTTCCAAGAGATCGTGATGTCATGTTATATGTCAGGGTTGTCAAATTGTTAGCCTATCAACTGCATTAGCCAACTCTATATGGGGGGGAGTCTGTAATGGGTGGAATTCTCAGGTGTTATCCAGTTCGAATGTATTGCATCAGTGGTCTCTCGTGAACTTGTTTGAATAGTTTTTCTGGAAAACTGGAAAGCTGTTTTAGCTTTTTTCTGGGTCCGCATTTTATGATAAAAGGCTGACATTGGCATTAAAATCATGATTTGGTATTAGGAGTTCATGAAGACTCCATTTATTTAGGCCAAACAAAGAACGGCAATGCAGCATGGGGAGAGAGGATGATATATGACTGCTATTACTCCATGATGTCAGCCAATGGTTAGATCGGGTATATAGTGGGGCAGGAATTTCGTGTGTCTCTAGATATCTGTAACTCTGGTTTCATCGTCTCTACTCTGGAGGTCCCGAAAACTTAGGATTAGGTGAACTTGCAATATATGATTTTCAAATGTTCTATTGCTGTTGCAGAAAGTGGAAACAGGATTTTCAATATGTGAACTATTCTGACATGTGTTTATTGTGTTTTGGTGTTACTGATTCTGTCGTTTTTCTGCTACTAGTGAATTGAATTTTTGAATTTCTACGGTAGTGTGCTAGATTTCAGTAGGTGCATGGTATTAGGGTGGCTATTTGGTCCGGGATTTTTAGTTTTACTCGAGACCGGACCGTATAATCCGGACCGAGATCGGATAGCAAACAATCCAATCTCATCTTCGAGCTTAGATTTGAGTTAAAAAAACATTTGGGACCGGACCGAAAACTGGATAAAGACCGGCTAAGAGAGCCCAACACCCAAAAGTTCAAAACTTAACCAACTCCTCATCCTTTGAGGGTTCAGGCCACTCAAATCCCCACAAGTTCAATCTAAAATCAAGAGCGAATTGGGATCGGACCGGGTCAAGACCGAATCGGATCAAGGCCGGACTGTATCCAATCCAATCTTTTACGCTTATATTCTCGAAAAAACCGGACCGAGACCGAATCAATTTGGGCCAATTTAATCGGACCGTATAGCCACCCCTACATGACATTATGGGTGCAATGAGGCCATGAGGGCGTCCGCTCAAAATGTAAAGGTTGACCTATACAACATCTCAAAAGATTGTCGTCTCATTTTCCAGTAACAAGTCGATATATTATTTATAACGGTCGACTGTATAACCAACATTTTATCTTACTCACCTCTCTCAGTTCAAGTAGATTCTTCTTTCAGGTCAACCTTTCCATTTAAATGGTCGATCTCTTTGTTGATATGGTTTACTTCTTTAGGGAATGGTTATCATTTTTGCTTTTGAGTCCCTTAAAACTGTCGACATTTCCATGTTTGTGGTCGACCCCTGTCTTCTACCAAAATGCTACGTTGTTGAAAACGGTCGACTGCTACATTATCTCGGTCAACCATTTTGTGTAAGTCTCCATAGGCGTACTCTAATTTTTTTTATCCGCAATGGTGGATGATTGCATATTGGCCGCTAGAAGAAGGAGCTCGCACGCCATCTTAGAAACCTTGAGCTTCTTAATAAGTTCGCCAGAACAACCCATTCACTCGCCCAAAAAGTTTCTATTGACAGGAATTGGAAACTACCCTTTGACATGAGTAGTTGATGTGGTTTTAGAAATCAAGGGCAACGTGGATATTGGAGGGGGATCTGAACACTCTTTTTTCCACCACTCTACCCTCAAACGCCGATGGTTTAACGGAATCAGAGCCTTGCAGAATGTGTCGGGCACATGGGTTAGTGAGAATGGGGAATTGAAAAAACTACCCAACCTTTTCTCTGGAACTCTACCAAGCTGAGTTAGGAGCGGCTCGCCCGGTCCCTACTACCTTCACTCGGCGGGATGAGGCTATTGGGAGAGTACTCTCCAGACCTATTTCCCCATATGAGGTCTGTCAAGCATTCAAGACTCTTGTAATGTTGCATACTCGATTGTAGTGAAATATTTGGTGAATAGAATCAAGCCCCTGATGTGAAATTTGGTTTAACCGACTTAGTTTTGCTTTGTCCCGGGAAGCACATAAAATCAATATGTTTTCGACAATTATCATCGACCCTACCTGGTGATGTCTCATGTAGTGGTCTACATAGACCACTATGTTATTTGCCACCTGATGAGCAAGGCTGATACCAATCCTAGACTTATCTGCTGGATCCTGCTTTGGTAGGAGTTTAACATTGAGATCTAGGACAAGAAAGGAGCGGAGAACGTTGATGCATATCATCTTTCACGATTGGAAGCCTCTCTGGTGGATAATTTGATTAAGAGATCAGCGAATCCTTTCCGGATGAGAGATTGTTGGCGCTGTGCTTAGTGGAGAGTGTCACCCCATGGTACTCTGATCTTGCCAATTATCTGGTGGGCAAGCAGTTATCTAAGGGGATGACCACTCACGCTAAGCGCAAATTATTCTTCGACCCGAAGTACTATTTGTGGGAGGATCCATACCGCTTCGGGATTGGAGCAGATGGTGTGATAAGACGATGGGTGATAGAGCACGAGATGAGAGATATCTTGTCTCACTATCACGAGTGACCCACGGCTGGTCATCATGGAGGCAACCGCACTGCGTGAAAGGTGCTACAGTCAGGCTTCTACTGACCCAAGCTCTTCAAGGATGTAGAAGTTTTATGCCAGTTCGATCGCTGTCAAAGGTCAGGTAACATCTCTGCCCGTGTTGAGATGCCCCAGAAGTCATTTGTAACTTGTGAGATTTTTTTATGTATGGGGCATCAACTTCATGGGTCCCTTTCCTACTTCATTCGGTAATCTATATATCTTGGTTGTTGTGGACTACATCTCGAGGTGGGCAGAAGGCCATGCCCACCAATGATGCAAGACGTGTGTGCTCATTTCTGAAGCAGTTGTTTTTCTGGTTCGGGACACCTCGATCCATCATTAGCGAAAAAGGATCTCATTTTCAAGGTCAATTCACTAAACTCCTCTCTTGTTATGATGTTAAGTATAAGGTGTCCATGGCTTACAATCCCCAAACGAATGGTCAAGCCAAGCTAACGAACCGAGAATTGAAAGGATCATCGAAAAGATGGTGAATCGATCCCGCAAGGACTGATCTACCAAGCTCGATGATGCTCTGTGGGTGTATAGGATATCCGACAAGACGACGATGGGTACTTCTTCATATCGGCTTGTTTATGGAAAGACTTGTCATTTACACGTTGAGCTAGAGCACAAGGCCTTCTGGGCCCTTAAGCTGCTAAACCTTGATCTGAGTCTTGCAGGTGCCGAAAGAAAAATGCAGCTGGTAGAGTTGGAAGAGTGGCGTTATCACGCCTATGTGAACATCTGACTGTATAAGGAGAGGACCAAGCATCTCCATGATGCTTGTCTAAAAGGGCCAAAAGAGTTTCAGGTGGACGATCGAGTTATCCTCTACAACTCTCGCCTAAAACTCTTTCCAGGCAAGCTCCCACCACGGTTTGCATTTTCTTTTCCCTTTTATTTTTGATTTTTGGTCTGTTGGAGTCAGCATGTATGTAAGTGTTAAAGTTTGATCGTCGGGTGTACCTCGTTTTGGGATAATCAGGCTTCGAGTTGATTAGGGAATGAAGTAAAGATGGATTTTGTGTTTTTTTTTTTTGTAAAATACTCGGGCAGCCACCTTAAAATACCCGACTGGCCCCCCTCCTGGAGGGAATGCCCGGTCTGAGCATCAAATACCCGATCGGGTATTTTTAATGCCTAGCTGGGTATTTTCCCTATAAAGGGATACCCGGTCGCCCCCTTCTCTCTCCTCCTCATTATTTCCAGTACACTCTCTATCTCTCTCTCTCCTTTCTCTCACCTGAAAATTTCACCCTCCTTGGAGTTTTAAACATCCTGGTCTACTCCGACCTCCAAATCAAAATCCGTTTTTCGATTCGAGATCCTCTCTCCAGGCGCCCCGACCTAAGAAACTTTTCTGGATTTGGGCGAATTTTGTAATTGCCGGCCGGCGCCGCCGAAGAGCCTCCGACGAGACCCTAGAGTGTGTTTTTTTTTTTTTTGCGCAATTTCGCATCTCTCGCCCTCCCCTCACTTTCCTCTACAGTCCTTCTTGTGTTTCCACGTTTGTGACTTGTGCTTTCTTTCCTAATTCTGAAAAATCGGACTATAGATTTTAGGCTTGAGAATCGTGAATTGTTTGACATGCCTGAACTAGTTTAGGGTGAGGGATGTGTTTTATTGTGCCTACTAGCAATAATTGGTGTATGATTGCTTGGGTTTGTCGATCTGTGCCAGGATTTGTGCAAGAAATTAGTCTGCTTTGCTGATATTCATGTCTCTACGACTGCAAAGTAGCTAGTTTGAACTGTAATGCCTACGTAGGTGATCCTTAGGTGTGGGGGAACTGGCTATCCCCTGCCTGTGATTCTAACGGTGTTTTCTCTTGGTTCCACCTTTGGCTTAATTATTTTGCAGGATCATGTCTCTCACCCACAGGTACGTGCGTGACCTGCGCCACACGAAAGATTATGACGCGAAGTTCCGGGCGGTCACCACTGGAGTATCATCAACGAGAAGGAAGTCGCCCATCCCACAGACTTCCAGCCCAACAGCTTCTACCGCCATATCTGCCATCCCGAGCACCGCTAGGCGACCTTCGTTGCCAACCAGCGAACGTCACTACCCTCCGACCTGAGTGGCATATCATCAACCTCCTGCTCACCCACTCGGTCGTCCCCAATTCCCACGGATCGCACAAGCTCACTAAGCGCGAGCTCTACAACATGTACTCGATGATAGATCCAGACCACTCACTGCACCTGGGGTCTCTACTGACGCAGACCTTCTTCAAGTGCCACGAGAAGCCCACCAACCTCTTCTTTGGTCTTCTCATCACCCATCCGGCGCGCCATTTCAAGGTGGATCTTTGGGGGCTGACCGACTTTACTATCCAGTTCGATTCTCATCCCGTCAGCATGCTCGTCCTTCATATCGCTCTTCTATTGACCGTTGCTGACTGTTAGGCATGGGTCGATGGTCTCTCCCTTCCACCTGCTGTGGATGAGGACGACAAGGGTGATGAAAACTATGATGAGGAGGACGAGGATGATGATGGTGGTGGGGATATGGCTGTCGATGAGATGGAGCCTCAGTTTTCCCCTCCTAGGGATCTTCCTCTATGACAGAGACAGAGACCCGAGCGGGACGAGACTTCCTCCGGTCCTTCTGTTTTGTCGATGGAGTTCTTCGCAGATCAATTCTAGCAATTGGGTCTTCAGAACCAGCATCTCATGCATCACCATCTCCATTTCCAGCAACAGTATTCATCTCATCAGGCTCAGTATGATGCTCTACTTAATCAGATTGACAGTCCCCTCGACCAACTCGGGGTTCAGCATCAGGAACTCCGTACCCGCCTCGACCAAGAATGGGACTGCAGCCTCCGACTTATGGAGTAATAGGAGCACCTGCTCCAGTCCTGCCACCCGCAGCACCACTGCACTACTCCGTGGGCGTACTCTCCACCACAACCACCACCTCCTCCGTCAG